GGGAGAAATAATATTTTTCTAATGTGAAAATAACTGGGGCACCAATGTAAAGTTTCAAGAAATACTTACCAAGGAAACAAGAACTTTGTCTGTGGGCCTTTCTTTTTGAGCCTCCAGTTTATATCTGATTAAATCCTAGGACCCCTGGATGTAGAGGCCAAGCAAGAAGAAGCATAGGAAACCCTTTTTTAGGAATAAGAGTGGCCAACAAGAAACTACTGAGGCATAGATTTTAATAGGCTCTGTGGTGGGGACAAGCAGTTGAGGTCGAATGAACTGCATTCATTCCATACAATTTATTGTAGTACATGGAAATGACACCGAAGCATTCCCTTCACAGCCAAAATTTGGAAATAAGGGAGAAGAGATTATCTTCAGAGAGGTCAACTTATAAACATGGAATCTTTCAAAACTTGCAAATATTTAATGAAGCCTACAGGGAAGGGCAAAATTTTCTCAAAGGAACTAAACAGCTCCCAGGCCAGTGAGCTTTGACTGTAATTTGATTGAATGAATCAATGGGTTCTTAAAAAGACATTGTCAGTCAGGGTGGGGGTTGGTCAGAGAAGATCCCAGAGCTGATTTTAAGCACTGTGCACGCCCATCACGATTGTGGGATGCCTCTGTTGAGCAGAGGATGCACCAACCCGAGTATTTATCTGGTCAGTATGACAGCTACACTCATCTCACTTTCATAAATCCATCTCTGAGATCTTCTTTGCTGGCGTCCCTAAGACAGATCATTCTGCTGGAAGTTTCTGGGACTTGAAGGCTAAGAGCCACTCTCAGGACTGGGTGGGTCCTCAGGTGATGACATAGCCCTGTGAAGTTTCTTTGGAGACAGCCACCACCCTGCTCCAGTTGTCACCTCACCTGCATTTACATCTGCCTGTGTCTTCACACCTCCACATTCAAGTGCTTGCCTGGTATCAGTCAGGCTCTAAATTAAAGTAGTTATGCTAAACTCTGAAAGATTAGCCTTGATCCAACTTCACGAGCCCTCTGGAGTGGGCCTTATCTAGTCTCTGGTCCCTCCTCCACCCCACCTTCAAATACCTATGGAGAAATTTGTGTGTGTGTGTCTGTGTGTATTTTTCTGGGGGAGAGGGTCTATGATTCTGATAGGGTTCTGTTAGCCAATGTAGTTTAGGACAGTGCCTTAGGGAGCAGAGTTTGGCTCCTCTGGCATAGGAGATCTGCAGGGGAGAAGAACTGGACACCTGGACGCCAAGGTGGGAGCTCTTAGGAATGCAAAGGACCTGGACGCTGGAAACAGAGGGAAGAGAATACTGTGTGAGTAGGAGAGGGAATGAAGGAAGGAACAGTGTGCTATTCCACCATGTGCACAGCCCACCAGAATTTAATATTCTTTTGACATTTTAGCAATATTGTTTTATTATTGGGTAATGGATCCCTTTTTCTGGGAGGTAAGAGTGGGCAGAGTGCAAAGTAGCAGGAACAGTTCCCTCTAGCATATTCAAGGACACAGAAGGCACTCCATAAATGTAGGAAGTAAATTGCTACAGGATAATAATAAGAACACCATGCTGATTTTTGCAATCTTAAACCCAATATCTGTTAATAGTCTCTGCAATGCAATTTACTTCCATTCAGTACAATTCAACTCACTCCAATAAGCAATAATTAAACACTCCTTATCCACATTATTTCATCCTAGAAAATTCAATGGTGTATTGTATTACGGGTCAGCCAGTGAGTGGTGGCATTGTGCTCACCAGATTGAGAGGAGGGGAGCTCTCAGAGAGGTGTAAGAGGGGTATCTCCTGGCTTGTGAGGATGCTTTTGGCCTATTTCTTTTATTCCAGTGTTATTCTTAATAACACCCTATTCAGATGAGAATTTATTTGGTCCTCCATGTATCTAACCTTTTTATTGCTCTAACCTGGTTTAATCTCCCCTGTTTGTGCTTCTCTCTTCCCCACTAAACTAATGACTTTTGGAGGCTCATTTATCTCTGGGTCTAGCACATGCCTGCTATTCAGTGGACACTTACTAAACATGTGTTAAACTGAAGCAAAATTAAAGACAGAATGAAGAACCTCAGAGTAGAAATGGCCCAGCAACATTATTGCCCATGCACTGCAGAGGTCTGCACTGGAGGCTGGATTTTGAGTTACTTATGAAATAGGCCATGGGACCTTTGTGCCTTGGGAAAGTAATCTTTTCCAATGTGTGTAAAGTGGTTAGTGAAGGGCTTTTAAGTGCCCAATGAGTGTTAGCTGCTAGCGTTCTCATCAATAATAATTAGTTGCTAACACTAACTGTTATTCCACATAACAACTTTAAACTTTACTTTTCTTAACTAGAGAATGAAGGTCATAATTCCTGTTTACTTTATCTCAATAATGAACACAAAAACACTTTGGAAACTATGGAGAACACTCATCACAGAGCCCATAAAAGAATGCAGAGTGACGGAGAGGTTTGTGCTGTAAGACAGAGTAATTTGGGCATTTTACATGGGGGGCTGGCAGTATTAGGAAACTTTTAAATGCAGTATTTTAGAAAGATGATAAAGTGGGTGGGCTGGAGGATGGAAGTTGATCTACTCCAAAATGTAGAAACATACATAATAAAAAAATCACATGGGAAAAGAGGACGGATGGACTCAGGACCATCCGTCGGGGTGGGGGCTGCTGCTCAGTGTGGATTGACAGAGCACAGCTGCCGGCATGAGGTGGGAGCAGAGCCCTTCCCGGCTTGGCTTCTGAATCTTGGAGCAGAGGGATAGTTCTGTCAAGGCAGACATTCTACTTTGCACAGTCAGTTAAGCGTTTGTGTTTCTGGGTTCATGTGGATGTTTTAGCGAAGTTATGCTAAATGTGGACAAAAGCTAGGACAGCCATTCAGCACCCTTATGTCCTGCTAAGGATGGGAAAGGACCTGATAATTACGGTCGAAAGCAGCTTTCCGCCAAGGATCATGGAACGTTTTCTGATAATGTAGTGTCTATCAGGTTATATAGAGAAAATGGGTTTTATGTTCCAGTTCCTTTGTTATTCTAAAGGGCAACATAATAGCAGAATTATTGATACGAGGAATTCTTGGACCTCATTGCCGGTAAACCAGGAGGTAGGATTTCAGGTCGATGTTGAAGAAATGGGTCAAACAGCAGCAGTAGCCTCAGAAAATGGTCATAGAACAGTTACGCCTATTAGCTCACTTAAACCTTATAGGGTCCTTGCCAGGGGGGTGCTATCACTACTCCTATTTTATGGATAACAAACCAAGGAATAAAGAGGTAAAATAACTTACTGTAAGTCACGCACCTTGCAGGTGGCAGAGCTAGTCTCCAAACTCACAATGCTTGATCCAGAGTAAGTGCTTTCAACCAGGACACGCTCACCTCTCAATTCTAGCTGGTCTGACCAGTGTGCAGTATGCCTGTGACACGGTAGGATGTAACTGTGGAATTGCTTTCAGCCCAGGCCCGGGGGTTCTCAAGGCAGAGAGACAAGCAAGGCTTTATTGGGGCCTATGCTAAGCACCAGGGAGGCAGCACAAGGAAAAACATCCGTGAGGCTGGTTCATCTAGGGGAGTTTGGGGAACTTCTAGACTCAGGTTTGGACAGGGCATGGACAGCTTGTAAGAGTGAGGAGGTGGACATTTTTCCTGCACCTGCGTAGTTCTGTTACAGGTTTCTTCCTGCACGGCCTGTCTCATTGTCCTGTTAAGTCACAACCCATGGGTGTGATTTTTACATTAAAATGAGATTGTAATCAGGGAAAAAGCCAGGGCAAGGCCACAGTGGCCAGGGCAAAGTCAGTTTCTTCTGGCTTCAGGTGGGTGGATCTGGATACACCTAGTTCTTCTGCAGCCAGGTGCCTTATCAGCCTGTCTCAGCATCTCATTCCATCGTCCCCTGAAAACATGACTCGTGCGACAGACGGTTAGGTCACTCTCCCATCTCGGTATGAGCTGACTTCCAGCAGCTGGGAAGCCCTTTGAATGTGGCTGGATCACGCTGTCCCAGGTTGTCTCCCTTTGTCCGAAGTGAGGCCTGAATACTGTCCCTAAACCGTCTCAGAACTGAGGCCATAAACTTCACAGGTTATTTCTCTATTCTGTCTCAAGCTTTTCTTGGAAGAAGTTTGTTTAGAGCTACATTTATTAGAGGTGAGACTCTTGTCCAAGTTTCTATCCTCCAGAATTTGATAATATCCCTCATGACACAGAGCAGGTGCTCAATAATGTGAGTTGAAGTAAACCAAATATTCTCTAAGTTTTCTCCCTCCCGATGTAAAATTCTTTTTGTGACTGAACAAGGGAGAAGCGTGGGAAGGCATGGCTCTACCTCAAACGCCCAAACTCAAGTTGGCATTTATTTGTTAATCCTCTGTGGTCAAATTCCTTCACCAAATCCTGACTCTGAACTCAAGGCTTAGGTCAGGTCTATCCTGCCTATGAAGCAGCTGGTTTTGGCCCAGGGGATAGTCTGGTTACGGCTATCAGCTAGCATGCCTGTCCCATGGCCTTGGTCATGCCTGCTGGGCGGGGGATCACACTTGAGATCTGGCTACTGATACAGGTGGATTTTAAATCTTAGCGGTGGAACTTCCCAGCTATTTGGCCTTTGACAAGCCATTCCATTCAGCCACTCTGAGCTCAGCTCCCCTGTTTTTGAAATGATGGTAATATTATCTCATTTCAGGGATAATATAGAAAGAGGGATAATTGGGAGACTTAAACAAGACAATACGTATGTCTCAACACCTTGTGTAGCGCTTGGCACAAGATAGGTGTTCAAATCGTAGGAACTGGTTTCCCCAAGACTGCAACTTCCTTGAGGTCTGAAATCTTGTCTTATACTTACTTTTCAAGAATCTTTCTCTACTCTCTCCATTCCTCACCCTGTGCTCTCTCCGCCCTCCTAAACTTTTTTCCTCTCTGCCCTCAGTCCATCACTACAATCAGTATTTGCTCATTTAATGTTTATCATGCTTAACCCATATTTGGGGTCATTTTTATTCTATCCCAGGAGATATTTGGCTATCGGACTCATGGCTGCCGGCAGACTCTCTGCCTTGCTGGATCCATCTTCTCATTTGGAATCCTTCCCTGGGTGTTTTACTGGAGACCAGCTTGGCACGTATGGGCAAATTGTGTCCCATGTTGCTTGCAGGAAGCAGACGTCGTGTTGCTGAGGACCACAGTAAGTGTGTATCTGGTTTTGTGGCTGGTTCCCCCTTTTTCCTGGACAATATGGAGCATTTTGGGGGGAGAGGTTCACAAGGCAGGAAGCAGGTGGAGGGTCCAGTCTTAAGTTCATCACAGCCATGCACCTACTACAAATTCAATAATTTGTGCATGATGGGATTTGATTAAGATTTATTTCACAGGGTATTTCTCTTATGAGTTTTGTGAATGTTAGAGTAGGGAATAACCACATTATAGTTAAAACTTACAGACAGTGTGAAGTAGTTAAGTCAGGCTAGTAGGCTACAAGATTCACACTGGCCTGACCTCTCCATGCCTATTCTCCCACTCCCATGGGGTGACTCTGGAGGAAGGGAGGGGAAGAGGAGGACAGGGTGCTGTCTTTCCCTGATGATTTGAAAAAGCCACAGTTAGTGATGGGAGTGGGTGGTATTCTGCACATATACAAGGGTAAACAGTGTAGCTATCTTGTCCATGAGGTGGTTGGGTGCCTCTTGGGCTAATACAAGGTTCTGGTGTTACATGAGTTTCCCTGTATTTGTTCCCACACCAATTCCTCATAGCATGCATAGCACTTAGACAATATGCATAATTCCTGCAGGACTGTCAGCTTCACAAGGGAAGTGACCATTTCTAACTTGTTAGTTGCTGCACCTCTGGTTCCTGCATGTGGCAGCAATTCTAGTAACATGTGCTGGCAGGCAGACTAAAGTGGCTATTCCCATTGAGAAAAGTGAAAGGACATTCTCATGCTCATGGAGGACTCCTTTCTGAATGACTTTTACTCAGCCCAGATGAGCCAGAATGACCACCAAATTCTTGATAAACCAACCTGGGAGTTTAATTTCTTTTAATATATAGCAATATGGTCCCAAAAAAACTATATTTTAATCAGAGATCTCACGGGACAGAGGCTAAACTTTTAATGAAATTGAGAGTTGAAAGAAGTTTGTCTTTGTTGACTTGTGCTCCACTGAGGGCAGCTCCCCCTCCCCTTTTTTCTGGATCCTGGTTCTACACCTGTTCTATGTCCCAGCTTAGTTTACATGTGAGCCATGATACAGGTGATGGTAGAAGCATCTCCTCACAAGTCCAAAGTCAACTATGACTTAACTGGAGATTCTTGGAGAATAAGCTTCAAGACTTCAAGAAACCAAGAGGTTATTGTGAAGTAAAAGCAAGTCATATTGGTAATGTTGGGCTGGAGCTGAACTCCACTGATATCTCAGATCATTCTTCATGAAGACTCACAGAATGTGCATGAGAGAAAAGTGTCCAGAACCCATCAAGTAATATTTCTTCATATGATGGGTGAAGAAATGGGGCCTGGGGAGGTGACCCAAAGTCCTCTAGCTCTTATGTGAGTGAGGGGCCCAACCAGTACTAAGTCCTTTGTGTCCTAGTTCCTAGCCTAGGGCTATTCCCATTGAACTGTACTTAGGCCAGTGTTTATCAGAATAATGCAGAGGGCCATTAAAATAGATTTCTGGTGCTGGGCATGGTGGCTACCATTCTGGGAGGCCCAGGTGGGTAGATTACTTGAGCTTAGGAGTTTGAGACCAGCCTGAGCTAGAGTGAGACCCTATCTCTACCAAAAATAGAAAAAACTAACTGGGCATTGTGGTGGGTGCCTGTAGTCCCAGCTACTTGGGAGGCTGAGGCAAAAAGATTGCCTGAGCCCAAGAATTTGAGGTTGCTGTGAGCTCTGATGATGCCATGGCACTCAACCCAGAGTGACAGAATGAGAGTCTGTCTAAAAAAAAATAATAGACTTCTGTAACTTACTCCCAGAGTTTCTAATTTATTAGATCTGGACTGGGGGCCAAGAATTTGTATTTTTAGTAAGTTCTCAAGTGATGCTAATGTTTCTGGTGTAAGGAGAAAAACTTTGAGAAAAACTGTAGTAAATAGTCATCTCTCCCATCTCCCTTGGTTCTTTTGGGTGTAATAGAGACCTGGACATTTGATTTATGGCAGTATAAATCAGTATATATTTATATAGTCTCAAGGAGAATAATCCCAGTTTAGCAAAGTGTTGTAAGTGGCCCTGCCATACAGTCTCAGCATCTTGCTGGGGCAGAGGTAGAGAAAAGTTTGCTTTCTGGGGCTCAGAGACAGGACATATTTATTTATGGAAGACCTTATCTTTGGGATTCTTTCATGGCTCAGCCCTTTATATGAAGTTAAGAATCTATGAAATTCTTATTTTCTGGCAAGAAAGGTCTTTAACTCTATGCTGCAGATACATCCATCTGCCCTCAACTAGTTCTCTGGGGGCAATGCTTTGTTGCAGTAGAAACAGAACCGTACACACAGCACAGCTCTCTCCCTTTCAGAATGCCTCCGCAGACTTCAGAGCTGAGAACATCTGCTTGGCCAAACTGCTCTCTCTGAGGTTGCTGGCAGAGTGGAGCAGCAGACAGAAATCAGACGAAATGGGCAAAGAAATAAGAAAGGAAGGGAGAAATGTAAAAGGGATAGAAAGAAAAATAGGTAAAAGTAAAACAAAGAGAGAGAAAAGAGAATGAAAAATCTGAGAGTAAAAAGACACATCAGCCAACAGGGAAATGGGACATTTGGGGATTTGGAGCCAAAACTTTTGACTTCTAGCCCTACCTAGAACCTTAGGTTTTTTACTTAACTTTTGAGAACCTTGACTTCTCTACTTATAAAATGGGACTAGCAAAGTCCTTCCTCTTTCTCAGGCTGGTGTAAGAATGAGGTGCAGTTATATACATAAAAGCTATTTGCAAACTGTAAAATCCATTATCAAAGAGAATTTTTTTTTTTGAAACAGAGTCTTACTGTCACCCTGGGTGGAGTGCCCTGGTGTCACCTCAAACTCTTGGGATCAAGAGATCCTCTTGCCTCAGCTTCCCAAGTAGCAGAGACTATAGGCACCTGCCATAACACTGGGCTAATTTTTCTGTTTTTAGTAGAGATGGAGTCTTGCTGTTGCTCAGGTTTGTCTCGAACTCCTGAACTCAGGCAATCCACCTGCTTCAGTCTCCCAGAGTGCTGGGATTACAGGCTTGAGCCACTGTGCCAGGCCTCAAAGACAATTTTGATTATGTGTGGGTTATTGCACAAGCTGCTCCAAGAACTTTCTATGTACAAGGTACACTGATGTCTAATGGCCCTGCTTATCTGGATGCTGGGCTCTTTCTGTAATATAGAGGAGGCCTGCATTCCTTTCCAGGAAAGCAGACATGGGAGCTGTCTTGTGACCAAGAATCCCGACTCTATTAGCAACCAGGTGATCTTTCCTCTTTGCATGTACTTAGCTTTGCAACTGGGGATATACTGGAAAGACTCAAAAGCACTGGGGCCTCCAGAGACTAAATTCCAGCTTGCCACCTCTTTCTTTGCATCTTTGAAAGTCTATCAACCCCCTCCCACGTTTTGCTCCCCTCCACAGCTAATCAAAGCAGTCTAAACCAGCTTCAATCTTGCCTTTTTCATCTTGATTTCAACTTTAATTTTTAATTACCTTCTCTAGTGTGTCATTTTAAATGGATTTGTTATGCCAGAGACTCTTGAAATAAATGAGGTTCTAAATTAGTCTTTATGTAATTAGACAAGAATTCAATTATTTCAAACATTTTTACACTCTGAGACTTGGACAAAAATAACCTTTGGGCACTAATCGTTTAAAAGTCTGGTAGGTCATTTGCATTAAAATGACACCTCAAAAAAGATTTTATTTGAATTATTTTACAATAGCTGGACTGCAACGACTTCCCATTATGGAGGACTAGAGCCTCCAACCTGAAAATGTGTTGTATATCTGTTCTCCATGTTATTAAAAAATCAGTACTTGGTATTTATCATCAGCCTCACCCTGGTAAGATTACAGATCATTATCACAGATACTGATTAGGGTAGTCATTTCTTAACATTAAAAAAAAAATACTACTGTGTACCGAGTGAAAGACTTCAGTGCACGGTTTATTTTCCATTCCTCTTCTCTTATTCAGTAGCTCTAACAGTGAGATTTTTCCAAAAGTTAAGAGTAATTACATTTTTATTTTATAATTTTAAAAGGGGCATTTAATTCATTATTCATCTACCTCTGAATTTTAACTAATTTCTGCAGCAATGCCACATTTCTATGCAAAGAAGATGATTTACAGTTGCTGGTGTTTTGAATTCCGATGATCCTCATAATTTTCATGGTTTCCATCTTTATTGTTTGTACAAACACAGTTTTTCCTTCATTGTCATTGCCTGTGACATGTTGTCAAAGACCCGCGACTTTGTGGTGATTAATCACGAGGCCCAACTCAAGACACTTCAGTTTGATGTTTTAACGGGGAGCATTTTCCCTTTGATTTCAGTGAACGATGTCAAGGCGGGGGCCTTTAGATCCCAAACTTAGAGACTGCGAGTCCTCTCCAAGAGAGGCAGCCCACAGTCCTCGGGGCAGTCAGCAGCACTTGTGTTTACTGAACCCCTTACTTCCTCCCATGTTCCCCACACCAGCACCAATTTCTACTGGAACCAGAAAGTTTGCTTTGTTCATGCTTTGGCCCACAAAGTTTCTTCAGGTAGTTCCTCTCTCCTTCCTTCCTGCCTTCATTTATTCAATCAGTTAGTATTTACTGAGCACCAGCCATCTACCAGACATTGTTATGGACATTAGGAATATAGCTGTGAGCAAAAGTGATGGAAATTCTTGTCCTTACAGAGTGACATTCTAGTGGTGAGTCAGCACACACCCACACATGTATGCAAATTCTCTGTGGGGTAACTGTATAAAGTAGGTGTTTAATCTCTACATAGTCAAACCTCGTTCCTCAGCCTCATATAGCACCTTCTTTTATAGTAAGTCTTGGCTGATCCATCCTCTGCCCTGAATCTGGAAGGACTTAATACCCATTCTGTATTAGCTCTGTGTTTTCAGTTTTGCCTACTATTGTGCCTTTTGCAGGTTGTCTTGTGTTAAAATGCTATTCGCTTTAAAGTTTTTAAAACAGTATGTTATCAGCTATTTTA